TTTGCATAGTCAATGAAGCAGAAGTAGATATTTTTCTGGAACTCTCTGGCTTTCTCCATAATCCAGTGCATGTTAGCAATTTGGCCTCTAGTTCCTCTGCCCCTTCAAATTCCAGCTTGTACTTCAGGGAGTTCTCAGTCCACATATTGCTGAAGCCTACCTTGCAGGATTTTGAGCATAACCTGCTAGCGTGTGAAATGAGTGCAAGTGTACGGTAGTTGGAGCATTCTTTGGCACTGCTCTTCTTTGGGATTGGGGCAATCTACATTAATTCAAATACAGCCATGTCATATTTTTCAGGTTGCTGCTCAATGGTGGAGAGTAGGGTTTCACTTAACTGGGGCTTATCTGGGGGGGGGTAGGGCTTATATTATGAGCATCCTGAAAAATCGTACTAGGGCTTATTTTCAGGTTAGGTCTCATTTTAAGGGAAACAGGGTATAATAAGTCATTCTGGAACTAGCATTCCATGTGCATTTCTGAAGCCTTAATAATCACTCAGGGACCTATTACATATACATACTGTAGTTTAATAATCATAGCTACTCTTCTCAAGTATGCTTTTCCTGCTTCAAAAGTCACCATGTTCTCTCCTGGCACCCAGCCAGCGCAGGAAAAGTTAGTCTACCCCAGTGATTATCTACACAACGCTTTAACTTGAGTGCTGAATGTCATGTTAACTGGTAGCATGTATTTCTTATTTCTAAAATGCTTGTTATCTTGGCCCTTGTCCCCACTGCTGCTTCCTGAATTGTCCCTTCCCCACTTTAAATGAAATGCAGACAGTATAAAATAGCAAATTAATCATTCTGCACAGCCCTAAACTGACCAAAGCCCTTGATATACGTATGTTAATTCAAAACAGGATTTCTGTCTTGCATAGAAAGTTTAACAGGAGGGAAGCACATGACATCCGCACAACGCACATCCTTTGATAGCTGCATCTGTTGCTCTCGAGGTCTCTCCCTGGCCCCTTGTCTTCTGAGTTAATGATCAGACACAACAATGTTATTGCACTATTGTGCAGCCTCTCATCTATGCTACAGCCAGCTGGCCCTCTGAACACTTTGCCTCTGTCCAGCTATGCCACAAAAACTTCCACTGCTTGTGCAAAACAAACATACCACATTGAGTTGTACTGTTATTCTATCTAGCTCAACACTTCTCACAGCAGCAGCTCGCCACAGTTTCAAAGAGGAGCCTTTCCCAGCCCTGCCTCGAGATGCCCAGCAGGGTTGAAGGGGAGAGGGGACTTTTTGTGCAAAAAATACAGTATGTGCTTCACTACTGAGGTATAGACCCAACCTTCGAAGCCTAAGTTTAACACTCATGCTAAATAAAATCCGCTAGTCTCAAGTGTCAGATGACTTTCGATGCGTCTGTTGCTTTAAGAAACTAACATGATTGCCCCTTTGAAAATAGGTCAGAAGTGTTGTGGACTAAATGCCTTGAAGATATTTTAGAAAGCTGAGCATGGCATTTACATATATGAAGAATACTACAACTGTTTTAGTTGTTATCCTTCCTTCATAAGAATGTACAAGAGCCCTAACAGTACAGCTCAATCCTAAAAGGAATTTCTTTTTATTGGAGAGAGGAGAAGCAGCATGAATTACAATGAGCAAAGACTAAATATTAAAATAGATAACCCCAGACTACTTCAGTCATATAATAAGAAACTAACGGAACATATTGTTACTGTTGATAATTCAAAGTAAAATAAATGGGGAAAGAGGAAGTCTCGTTATTGGCATTAGTCATAGTCTTCTGCAGGTATGATAGAAACACTATCATTATGTAAAACCAACGCACAAATCAGAAAGATAAGGACTGTGTGTGGGCAATCTGGCTGTGACCTATCCTCCTCCGCCACCCTTTGACGGACACTTTGATTTAGCTGATCTGGCTGGCTAGATGGGTGTTCCCTTTTTGCTCTCACTCCATATATACATTCCTACCGAAGTTTCATGCTCAGTGGACATCCAGCCCAGAGATTGGATGCACTGTTCTTTAGTCAAGTATCTCGTGATCACCGTGCTCTCCTCCTAGAGACGCTCCAAACAAGCTTAGGGTCCATTTGTAAATGGGAAAAGATCTACTGCGTTTCTACTTAAATTACGGTAATAAGTAATTATAACGTCGTTGGCATATACCGGGCTAAATAAATTCAAATGTAAAAAATCGCTCTCCTTTCTGGCAATGTTTGTTCTCCTCCTTTTTGGCCAGGCAGGACTTGGCGCCTCTTGTTCGGACGCGGACACAACCTCGCGTCTCCAGTCGGCACCGCTGTGACCGCAGCGCCAGGGCGAGGAAAACAAACCGAAGACGAGTCTCCCTTTGCTTTACCTGACGAGGGAGACTTTATGGGCCGACCTCTCTCCGCCTCAGCCCAATTGCTGCCCTTTCCCCTCCCCATCTC